GCCTCTGCCCAGCAACTCCACCTCCTGGCCCACTGCAACCCTGCTCGGACCCAGTCTCCTCTTTCCCCCCACCCCATCCTTCGCCTCCCACCTGGATCCCCATCTCCTGTCTGGCTCTAAACAATCCCCCCTCCCCGTACTCTCTGGGCCCTGAACCCTCCCCCACACACACACACCTGCCCAGAAACCCAGCCCCCTTGTGCTGTGTCCTGACAACTTCACACCTGACTGGGACCCAGGTGATTCTCCCTCTCCCTTTGTCTGAGGAAGGGGAACTCTGGTGTTCCCAGTGCCCGTGTCCCCAAGTCCCTTCCTGTCTGAGGCAGGAGAGCTTTATTAAAATTGGAATTGAGATCCCGTTTAAATAGGCTTTGTTTTAAATAATAAACCTTTACAATTAAATTAAAACCTGTTATGGCCTAAATTTCTCATCACCTATTTACATAACTTATTAATTAAATTTAAAAATTAAATAGAATATGTCTCCTGTCAACTTTTAAAGAAATTCCATCAGTTCACTAGTGTAAGTACCCAGAACCAGCGTTTACATCAGCAGTAGCTTCTTCTGCAGGTGAAGAGAGAATGTTTTTATCACTTTTGTTTATTCAGCTAGTTCGATTCAATGATTAGTTCATTCACCGTTGCAAAACCGAGAGTTGACGAAGCAGAAAAACTTGTTTTCCTCTTCTCTCAGTAAAAAACTGGTTATGAGAGCATTCTAACATTTTGAAGAACATGATGACTAGATTCAATCTGTTAAACTCACTATGGATAGTTCCTTTGTTTAATAAATAAATTTTAGATGCAAAATGTGTTTGGATACTTTTTTGTTATGTGTCCTTTACATTTAAGTTTTATTTCATACAAAAATTAAATGCTGTTTTTGTTTATTTTAAATTGAATTTCCATCCAGACAGAAGTAGGTGCAAATCATATGTTTTAAAAAAGTAGCCACCACTCAGCAAATAATAAATGAGGTAAAACCTGTCTCTTAAGTGTTCCTGTTACACACCATTTTGTAATAGAATAAAAATGTAAAAATTAAGAATCTGATTACATGTAAGTTACACAATTATTTGGGCATTTATTCAGTTGGTAGCTGTACTGAGTGTATTCTCCTGGTTAGTAAATAGAAGCACCAAATTTGACATGAAGGTTATATTTAGTTGTAAATCAACATGTTTTAAAGGTTGCTAATCAATAAGACTCAACCATCCTTTAGGAAAATATTTTACAAGTATAATTTAAACGATTATTTGCTCATTTAAATCTAGGTTTTCTGCTTGCCGGTTTAAATCATGATTAAAATTAGAGATTTAAATCAAAGCTATTTAAATCAGTCCACCCTGCTTCAGAGGCTGTTTGGTCCGTCCCTAAAGGAGAAAGCACAGGGCTGCGCACATGGAATAGGTCCTAGGCTAGTGGGGTTTTGTTGTCTGGTGCCTGTCTTGTTCTGGACAGTTGAAATGGGGAGTTGAAACAAAAGTTCTCTTAATCCCTTTGAACTGTCTCATTGTATAGTGAGGCTGATTCTTGTCCATGGACACCAAGAGTTGGACAACTTATGTGTTGGGATTGGAGTCTAAGTGATTATAAGATTTATAATAAAAAAATCCCTTTGCAGAGTGAGGAGTGAGACCGGAATTCCGGCACTAGGTGATGTCAACAGATGCATGCTTTGGAAGTCTTTAACTGGCTTGCTGTACATTGTAACCACGTGTCTAAATTAAAGCTCCTAATTCGAACTACCGTTACTCCTCCTGCAATGAAGAGTAATGGTAATTCGAATTAGGAGCTTGAATTCGAACTACCTAGTCCGTGCCATGTGTAGCCGCGGGCAGGTAGTTCGAACTACGGGGCATTTAAAAACGGAGGCGCCCGGGAACATGCAAATAAAGCCCGTGATATTTAAATCCTGGGCTTCATTTGCAAGTTCGAATGCCTATATTAGCCAACCTAGTTAGAACTAGGGTGGCAGTGTAGATATACCCTTAGATACTTGAAGGCTGCTCTCATGTCCCTTTTCGGTCTTCTCTTTTCCAAGGTAAACAAGGCCAATTCCTTCAGCCTTGCCTCATATCTCATGTTCTCTAGACCTTTCATCATTTGTGGTGCTCTTCTCTCTGGACTTTCTCCAGTTTCTCCACGTTTCCTGAAATGTGGTGCCCAGAACTGGACATGATACTCTTGCTGGGGCCTAATGTAGATGGCTCATTCCCTGCCTAGGGGACGTGAGACTGGGCGGGTTAATTTCTAATCCTCCTCTTCATTCTTTTCCTAAACCAGGAAGGCATGATAATTCTGATGGGGGCTCTGCAGGAAGGCAGTCCTCACTGGCCCCTGCCTGAAACCTTGTGCAAGTGTTAAACAGCTGTCCAGCCCACCCTAGAGGTGACTGCATTTCAGCGTGCCTGAAGCAACACAGCACCAGCAATGGACAGGAGAATGGCTCCCGGGCATGGCTTGCTCATGACTGAGTCAGTCCCGTTGGATGGGCCTCAGCATCTTTCCTTCCCCTCCCCCACTTTGCAATGGGGCTGTAGACTCTGAGGGGAGAGGGGGGGAGGCAGGCAGAGGTGTCTCCCTGCAGCAGATGTAGACACGTCTCTGTATTAATCATTCTCTCATTGAAGTTTTTAGCTTTGTATTGAGTCATTTTACATGGAAACTTTGTATTACGTCTTGGTCTGAATGCAGCCCCTCTGCACTCCCTGCTGACCCGGCCCCGGTCTCTCTGCACTGGGCGCGCACCGAGCAGGACTGGGAGAGGCACGGGGGAAAGGTGGGGAACAGGTGCGCGGGAATGAAGCCTGGGAGCTGCCGAACAGACGGGTTGAAAGCCCCATTGGGAGATTAGCCGAGCTTGCACTGGCCTCCCGCGCCGTTGGCTGGCGTCTCCCAGCCTGCACATGCGGGGACAGGTCACTGCACAGCCAGCCAAGGGATGCTCCCGGCCGCAGGGGCCTGATCCGGGGGTTGATGGCGCGACATGAGAGATCCCCGTAGGGCTTGTTCCCTGCCCAGAGCCTCCCTTGTCCTCCTCCAGGCCCTGCCCCTGTGTCCTCTGCAAACTGTCAAAGATGGAGGCCTTTAAGCAAGTGTGTGTGCCTGACCGGTGGGGGACGGGGGG